GATGTCTCTGGCTTTGTTCTTTTTGCTTAGGATTGTCTTGGCTATGTGGGCTCTCTTTCGGTTCCATATGAAGTTTAAGGTGGTTTTTTCCAATTCTGTGAAGAAGGTCATTGGTAGCTTGATGGGGATAGCATTAAGTCTATAAATTACTTTGGGCAGTATGGCCATTTTCATATTTATTCTTCCTAACCATGAACATGGAATGTTTCGCCATCTGTTTGTGTCCTCTCTTAATTCCTTGAGCAGTGGTTTGTAGTTCTCCTTGAAGAAGTCTGTTACATCCTTTGTTAGTTTCATTCCTAAGTATTTTATTCTCTTTGTAGCAATTGTGTATGGGAGTTTGCTCATGATCTGGCTCTGTGTTAGTCTGTTATTGGTGTATAGAAATGCTTGTGATTTCTGAACAGTGATTTTGTATCCTGAGACTTTGCAGAAGTTGCTTATCAGTTTCAGGAGATTTTGGGCTGAGACAATGGGGTCTTCTAGATATACGATCATGTTGTCTGCAAATGGAGACAATTTGGCTTCCTCCTTTCCTTTTCGAATACCCTTTATTTTTTCTTTCTTGCCTGATTGCTCTGGCTAGAACTTCCAGTACTATACTGAATAGGAGTGGTGAGAGAGGGCATCCTTGTCTAGTGCCAGATTTCAAAGGAATGCTTCCAGTTTTTGCCCATTCAGTATGATATTGGCTGTTGGTTTGTCTTAAATAGCTTTTATTATTTTGAGATATGTTCCATCAATACCTAGTTTGTTGAGGGTTTTTAGGATAAAGGGCTGCTGAATTTTGTCAAAGGCCTTCTCTGCATCAATTGAGATAATCATGTGGTTTTTGTCTTTGGTTCTGTTTATGTGGTGAATTACGTTTATAGACTTGTGTATATTGAACCAGCCTTGCATTCCTGGGATGAAGCCTACTTGATCATGGTGGCTAAGCTTTCTGATGTGCTGTTGCAATCAGTTTGCCAGTATTTTATTGAAGATTTTTGCATCTATGTTCATCATGGATATTGGCCTGAAGTTTTCTTTTCTTATTGAATCTCTGCTGGGTTTTGGTGTCAGGATGATGTTGGTCTCATAAAATGATTTGGGAAGGATTCCCTCTTTTTGTATTGTTTGGAATAGTTTCAGAAGGAATGGTACCAGCTCCTTTTTGTATGTCTGGTAGAATTCAGCTGTGACCCTGTCTGGCCCTGGACTTTTTTTGTGGTTGGTAGGCTATTAATTGCTGCCTCAACTTCAGCCCTTGTTATTGGTCTATCCCAGATGTCAAATTCTTCCTGATTTAGGCTTGGGAGGGTGCAAGTGTCCAGGAATTTATTCATTTCTTCCAGGTTTACTGGTTTAAGTGCATAAAGTTTTTTGAGGTAATCTCTGATTGCAGTTTGTATTTCTGTGAAATCAGTGGTGATATCCCCTTTATCATTTTTTATTGCATCTATTTGATTCTTCTCCTTTTTCTTTTTTATTAATCTGGCTACTGGTCTATTTTGTTGATCTTTTCAAAACACCAGCTCCTGGATTTACTGATTTTTGAAGGGTTTTTTATGTCTCTATGTCCTTCAGTTCTGCTCTGATCTTAGTTATTTCTTGTCTTCTGCTAGCTTTTGAGTTGTTTTCTTTTTTATCTTGCTCCTCTAGCTCTTTCAATTTTGATAATACAGCATGGATTTTAGATCTTTCCTCACTTCTCATGTGAGCATTTACTGCTATAAATTTCACTGTAGACACTGCTTTAAATGTGTCCCAGGGTTTCTGGTATATTGTGTCTTCGTTCTCGTTGGTTTCAAAGAACATCTTTATATCTGCCTTCATTTCATTGTTTATCCAATTGACATTCAGGAACCAGTTGTTCAAGTTTCCATGAGGCTGTGTAGTTCTGCATTAGTTTCTTAATTCTAAGTTCTAATTTGATTGCCCTGTGGTCTGAGAGACTCTTTGTTATGATTTCTGTTCTTTTGCATTTGCTGAGAAGTGATTAACTTCCAATTATGTGGTCAATTTCAGAGTAGGTGCAATGCAGTGCTGAGAAGAATGCATATTCTGTGAATTTGGGGTGGAGATTTCTGTAGATGCCTATTAGGTCCACTTCGTCCAGATCTGAGTTCAAGTCCTGAATATCCATGTTAATTTTCTGTCTCATTGATCTGTCTAATATTGACAGTGGAGTGTTAAAGTCTCCCACTATTATTGTGTGGGAGTCTAAGTCTCTTTGTAGGTTGTTAAGAACTTGCTTTACATACTTGGATGCTCCTTTATTGAGTGCATATATATTTAGGGTTGTTAACTCTTCCTGATGGATTGATCCTTTTACCATTATGTAATGCCCTTCTTTGTCTCTTTTGATCTTTGTTGGTTTAAAGTACATTTTTTCAGAGACTAAGATTGAAACTCCTGCTTTTTTATTTTATTTTTATTTTTTGCTCTCCATTTGCTTGATAAATCTTCCTCCATCCCTTTATTTTGAGCCTATATGTGTCCTTGCATGTGAGATGGGTTTCCTGAACACAGCACACTGATGGATTTTGACTTTTTATTCAATTTGCCAGTCTCTGTCTTTTGATTGGGGCATTTAGCCCATTTACATTTAAGGTTAATATTGTTATGTGTGAATTTCATCCTGCCATTTTGATGCTAGCTGGATGTTTTGCCTGTTAGTTGACACATTTTTTTCATTGTATCAATGATCTTTACCATTTGGTATGCTTTTGGAGTGGCTGGTACTTGTTGTTCCTTTCCTTGTTTAGTGCTTCTTTCAGGAGCTCTTATAAGGCAGGCCTGGTGGTGATGAAATCTCTTAGCAATTGCTTGTCCATAAAGGATTTTCTTTCTCCTTCACTTATGGAACTTAATTTGGCTGGATATGAAATTTTAGGTAAAAAGTTCCTTTCTTTAAGGATGTTGAATATTGGCCCCCACTCTCTTCTGGCTTGTAGGGTTTCTGTGGAGAGATGCACTGTGAGTCTGATGGGCTTCCCTTTGTGGGTAACCTGACCTTGAGCATTTTTTCCTTCATTTCAACCCTGGTGAATCTGATGATTATGTGCCTTGGGGTTGCTCTTCTTGAGGAATATCTTTGTGGTATTTCCTGGACTTGAATGGTGGCCTGGCTTGCTAGTTTGGGGAAGTTCTCCTGGATAATATCCTTAGGAGTGTTTTCCAGCTTGGATTCATTCTCTCTGTCATATTCAGGGACACCTATCAAACATAGATTAGGTCTTTTCACATAATCCCATATTTCTTGGAGGATTTGTTCATTTCTTTTCATCTTTTTCCTCTATTCATGCCTTCTCATTTTATTTTATTGAGCTGATTTTCGATCTCTGATATCCTTTCTTCTGCTTGGTTGATTTGGCTATTGAAATTTGTGTATGCGTCATGAAGTTCTTGTGTTGTTTTTCAGCTCCATCACATTGTTTATGTTCTTCTCTAAGCTGTTTATTCTAGTTAGCATCTCATCTAACCTTTTCTCTAGGTTCTTAGTTTCTTTGCATTGGGTTAGCACATGTTCTTTTCACTCTGAGAAGTTTGTTATTACCCACCTTCTGAGGCCTGTTTCTGTCACTTCATCAGATTCATTCTCCATCCATCTTTGATCACTAGCTGGTGAGGAGTTGTGATCCTTTGGAAGAGGAGAGGCTTTCTGGTTTTTGGTGTTTTCCTCCTTTTTGTGCTGGTTTCTTCTCATCTTAGTGGTTTTATCTACCTGTGGTCTTTGTAGTTGGTGACTTTCAGATGGGGTCTCTGAGTGGACGTCCTTTTCATTGATGATGAAGTTATTTATTTCTGTTTCTTAGTTTTCCTTCTAACAGTCAGGTCCCTCTGCTGCAGGACTGCTGGAGGCCCACTCCAGACCCTGCTTGCCTGAGGATCACCCATGGGGGCTGCAGAACAGTAAGGGTTGCTGCCAGTTTCTTCTTCTGTTATCTTCATCCCAGAAGGGTACCTGCCAGATGTCAGCCTGAGCTCTCCTTTATGAGGTGTCTCTTTGGGTATACAGGGGTTGGGGAGCTGCTTGAGGAGACAGTCTGTCCCTTATAGGAGTTCAAGTACTATGCTGGGAGCTCCATTGTTCTGTGCAGAGCTGCTGGGCAGGTAATTTTAAGTCTACTGCAGTGGAACTCATAACTGCCTATTTTCCCAGATGCTCTGTCCTAGGAAGGTTTGCTTTATTTATAAGTCCCTGTTGTGCTGCTGTCTTTTTTCATAGATGCCCTGCCTGACACAGAGTAGTCTAGTCACAGTCTGCCAGCAGAGGTGTTGCTGAGCTGCCACAGGCTCTGACCAGCTGCTGTGTGATCTGCCTCAGTAGTGGTGGCTGCTCTTCCCCGCACTGAGCTGGACTGTCCTGGGTCCAGCTGTGCTTGCTGTGAAACTCTCAATCCAGAGTGTTTCAGATTGCTTGTTTTGTGGGGGTGGTACCTGCCAAGCCAGATCACCTGGCTCCTTGTCTCTGCCCCCTCCCTTTCAGTTGAATAGGTGGCTCTGTCTCCCAGGTGGTCCAGGCTCCAGTTGAAATGGCCACCCAGATTTGTGCAAGTTTCTGTGCGCCAACACGGCACCAGCTGAAACTGCCATGCTGAAAACTTGTGGCACTTTTCTGTCCGGGAATCTCCTGGTCTGTGGGCAGTGAAAATTTGTTTGGAAATGCAGTGAGCACTCACCGTCTGCCTTGTTCTTGCCGGGAACTGCACCCCAGAGCTTTTCCTATTCGGCCATCTTGGATCCTCCCCCAAGGTTTCCTCTTTACATTTTCACTCTAAGGAGTAATTCCTGAGACTACACCAGACTTGGGAGACAAGTTGACCTGGAAATGAAAAGTAATACTCATGCTATGCAAATTTTAACCACAGAACATAATGACAATGTAAATTACTTAACCTTGAAGATGTGGATACATAAACAAAAGCCAAGAATCAGGTGAAAGCCTGAGCCAAGTAAACTAATCACAGTTAATTGTAAAATACTGTTTAAGAAACACGGCTCAATTAATTGGCATTACTTGGTTTATTGGTAATAATAAAAAGACAGTTAAATTTTATATTAGTGTAAACACATTTTAACATATAAAACACAAGTTTTGGAACTGCCTGGGAATATGTTATATTTGTTTTTAAAAGTTCGTTCTCAAGTAAGGTCCATAGGTCTTAGACATTTTCCTTCTCTACCAGCTAGAGCAGCGTTGCTTCATATCATCAGTAGAGTTCAAGGCCACTAAATTAAGGCAAAATCTAGTCTTTGGCAGGTATTTGAGGTCCAGAAGATGATGGACAAGATGAAAAACCTGATCATTGAAGAAAAAAAGAACCAGCAGCACAGCCAGGACCAGATGCTGAAGATCAATTCAATGTATAATCATAGAATCTATGAGATAAATCAGGCAACAAACCCAGTGGGAATTAAGGAGTAGGCAGAAGCAGAGCCAGGAGGTACACAGCTGATTTAGCATCTTTACAGCTAGAGTTTTCTTTTCACCTCATTCCCCTCTAAGATACATCCATTGGTTTTGAAGTTACAGCTCCCTGAGACCAATATCAATGGTGTTCTTGAACTTGAAATCAAAAGATCTGCATCCTCCTTCCAGCTCTGACACATACTAGCTGCATAAACCAAGACAAAATATTTATATTATTTGAATTATAATGGGCAACATAATATCTCACTCAGAAATACTATGAAGATTAAATAAAATAATGGGTGTTAGCTTCATGGTACACTCTAGACTCTTCATGATGTTATTCCTTCTCAGTGCACTCACACTTCAACACCCCTGGAGCCCTCTGGAATAGAAAGTATCCAGATTTCATGTAGTAGTGATAGGGGAAAATGGTTGTATGATAGAGGTGTTATTACACTGGAAAGTGTGATGCCAGGTAAGCCAGTTTTAGATGCAACCCCTCCTAACTTAGCAGGTACTGAGACCAGCTTCAGTGCCAGCAAAGTGTAATATTCACTCCCATGAGTGGGGGACCCAGCAAGGTCAAATGTAAGGTGAGTTCTATGGCAGGGAGAAGCAGAACTCATGTAATATAAAGTTTATGTGGAGAAGCATAGGAGCAGGAGATACAAAGTGTGCAGGTCAATCATGACTGTTAATAATGAGCATACACACACACACACACATATATATTCACATTATATGACTGTTAATAAGAAGCATATATATACGCTTATATATATATATATATATGAAACTAAGCACCTTCCATGTTCCAGAGTCTGTGCTGGGAGTTTTACATCTCATTCAGTCTCATAACTCTTTCAAGGTAAGTATTAATATAGCCATTTTATAGATGGGGACATTGATCTTCAAAGAGGTAAAATAACTTATCCAAATTACAGGCAACAAGTAATAGTAACGAGTCTGTTCAGCTCTGTAATCTTGGATTTTATGTTGGATTGATTGGTTAATTTTGGAGGCTGAAATATTATGGGGTTTTGATATGGGTCTTCTGCTACCAGGGGAACTGCTACCAGTTAACCAGAGATTTAACCTGAAATGTTGATTGCTGACGTATAGACTTCTCCAAATTTGACTAATAATTCATAATGAGCACAATAGTGAAGCAGTCGAGTGTGGGGAGGATATAAAAAAAAATTATCCTAGATGACATATGTATACATTAGATATATACTGTGGCATCAAAAAATTTTTCTCTGGATTTAGAAGATTTATTTACCATGGAAAATAGATTTCTAGACTAGGGAAAGTACTAAAGTAAAAACTACATATTGCATAAGAAACAGGAAAGGTTCCCTTGTCTCCCTTTCAGGGCGTGCAATGGGGGTGTGGCTCACTTCTTCGGTGCCTTGCTGCTCAGATCTCTAGGGAGCATGCAGACAGAAAGGCTGTGGGCTCCAACCCCACGGCAGGGTCGAAGGGTTTATGTTTACAGCTCCTGAAGCCCCAGTGGCAGTGTAATACAGGGTGCCCTTTTAGTTTAGCTGTCCCTAGGTAGCGTGTGTTAGTCAGCTCAATTAGACCCCTGCCTTATCGCAAGGACAGAGGCGTTTCTGTATCCAGGGATTCTTGCCTTGTTACACCACAACTATGGGATCATGCGTGAGCTTGGAGAATGAGTGCAAGGCTTTATTGAATGAAAGTAGCTTTCAGCAGATGGGGGAGCCAGAAGAGGGATGTTTTCCCCTGGAATAAGGCCACTCGGTGTCCCAACTCTTCTCTGAACTGCCCCCCATCCCATTGTTCTGCTCTTTGATGGCCTGCCAGAGTGCCGTGTGCTCCTATGCCAGTGCATCCCTCTCAACGGCCAGTGCATCCCTCTCAAGGTCCAGCTGCCTGTATGTTCCTTCACTGATGTGCGCCTCTCAATGTCCAGCCATTTGTGTATCTGCCACGTGGGGTCTTGGATTTTTCTGGGCACAGGATGGCAGTGTGGCAGGCCAGGGTGGTCTTGGGAAATGCAATATTTGGGCAGGAAAACAAAAATGCCTGTCTTCACCTAGGTCCATGGGCACAGGCACAGGCCCAGGGGTGGAGCCCTAGCCTGGAACCACACCATTCTCATATATAATTGCACTTTAGGTTCGGGGTACATGTGCAGAACATGAAGGATAGTTGCATAGGTACATACATGGCAATGTGGTTTGCTGCCTCCATCCCCCTGTCACCTATATCTGGCATTTCTCCCCATGCTATCCCTCCCCAACCTCCCTACCCCTCACTGACCCTCCCCCATTCCCCCCCAACAGACCCCAGTGTGTGATGCTTCCCTCCCTGTGTCCATGTGTTCTCACTGTTCAACACCCACCCATGAGTGAGAACATGTGGTGTTTGACTTCCTGTTCTTGTGTCAGTTTGCAGAGAATGATGGTTTTCAGGTTTATCCATGTCCCTACAAAGGACATGAACTCATCGTTTTTGATGGCTAGATAGTATTCCATGGTATATATGTGCCACATTTCCCTTGTCCAGTCTATCATTGATGGGCATTTGGGTCGGTTCCAAGTCTTTGCTATGGTAAACAGTGCAGCAATGAACATATGTATGCATGTGTCTTTATAATAGAATGATTTATAATCCTTTGGATATATACCCAGTAATGGTATTGCTGGGTCAAATGGAATTTCTATATCTAGGTCCTCAAGGAATCACCACACTGTGAACAATTTTTGAACAAATTTACACTCCCACCAACGGTGTAAAGTGTTCCTATTTCTCCACATTCTCTCCAGCATCTGTTGTCTCCAGATTTTTTGATGATCCCCATTCTAACTGGGGATGGTATCTCAATTTGGTTTTGGTTTGCATTTCTCTAATGACCAGTGATTATGAGCATTTTTTCATATGCTTCTTGGCCTCATATATGTCTTCTTTTTTAAAATGCCTGTTCTTGTCCTTTGCCCACGTTTAAATGGGTTTATTCGTTTTCTTGTAAATCTGTTTTCGTTCTTTGTAGATTCAGGATATTATCCCTTTGTCAGATGGGTAGTTTGCAAAAATTTTTTCCCATTCTGTTGGGAACCACGCCATTCTCTATCCAGCACTTCCTTCCCCCACTTCTGTATTGTTTAAAGGGAAGACCTTCCCTTCCCAGCATTTCCATATCACATAGTGGAAGAAACTTCCAAAAGTTCAAATGATGTTATTGTACTTTAATATTCAGTATATAATATTATAATCCTCTAACTCTGTTCAAAATTGTCAATGTAATCTCAGTTTCTTTTTATTTTTCTAAAAAAATGTAAATCCAATTTCTAATGATAACCAGCGAAAAAACCTAATTTGCTTGTAAGGAATTATTTTTCCAATCATGTTTGGTGGCATTCATCTACATGCTAATGAAACATGAAAGTTCAGTTCTCAACATTTAACTACCCCATATAGACACATTTGAAACCACTTTAAAGAAAAAGGGTATAATATTTAGATGTGAAGAAAATTGGAATAGGTGTGAAAAGGCTAAGACTTCAGGGTCTCTTTTCTTCAGAAAATTAGCATTATTGATATTCACTCTTTAAAGAAAGAATGGTAGAAGATGAGTTATGAAATGCAATCTGTGCATCAGATACCACCAAGAGCTTTGAAGCCAGCTTAAGTAAACCAAATTTGAATAAAGTCAGAAGTGCAAGTACATACTTGTAATCCCAGCACTTTAGGAGGCCGAAGAGGGAGGATCACTTGAGCCCAGAAGTTAGAGGCTGCAGTGAGCTATGATATCACACCTTCACTCCAGCCTGGGTAACAGAGCAAAACCTTGTCTTAGCAATAAAATAAAAAATCTGTTATCACATCTGAATTAGACTAGGCTCCTCAAATTTCAGCCAAAGTCAGAAATCCAGGAAATAATATTACTAGTCAAGGATGTGGATATTTTTGCCCAGTAAAACTGATGAAATTTTTCCCTGAGGAAAGACTGATGTTTAGAGAAGACTAACACTTTGAGGGAGGTAACATAAATAACAAATTTATTCAAGTAGCACTCTTTGTTAAGGACTGAGGTCTGTTTGCACAAGTGCCCACGTGTGGATACTCTCATGTGTGGGGTCCGGAAAGCATGGCATCTGCCAGGAGAGAGGGCAGATAGTTATGGGAAGAGCAGCGGGGGGTGAAAAGCCTGTTCTCTCCATTCAGCTGCTACTCAATTTCTCAGCCTAAACACAAAACTCACATAATGGCTGTTGAATTCCTTTTTGAATGACAATATAGATACCTCAATCTCAGCTAAATCTCATTTTATGCTCATTTCACTTTGCTGCAGCATTTTTTGTTTTCCATGCTGCATTTTTCTTGAACAATCACCAAACTGGCAGACTCTGACTAGCTTGTCAGAAAGGAAAAGGAATTTATATTTCATAGGAAATTAATCCAATCAGTGGAACATTTATAAGAGACCAAGCCAGACTTGTTTACAAATGAACAGTACCTGAAGGGGAGAGATTTTAATCTCATTATAATATGACCTTCCAAAGATTAGGACACAATTGTTTAATTCTCCTTGTTAACTCACTGTGTTTAAAGTTCACTGTGTCTTATGGTTATCAAGGAAAATAAGGAAACTAAAAATCACCTTATTCTAATAAAATAGGAAGCGGGAGGAGGTAAACCAATAATAACCGTTAATACCATGATGGAAATAGCCTTCCATAAAACAAGGATAAACAACATTGCAGTCTAATTTACTTCTGCATAAAATGTAAACTAGAACTCAATGTGCAATAAAATATTAGTATCTTTACTGCCAGCATAATCTTAACTAATCATTTCTTATTTCTGTAGTTTCAGTAAATCATCTGCATGAAATTTGACTGAATAAGGTTAGCCCAGCAACTGAAAGTTCTGGGGCTTTCCACTTTTTCCATTTCATAAAATCTTTTCTCATTAATGTTCTCACACATTTCTAAGCTATCCCCAAACTGGATCAGCCTCTACTCTTTTCAGAATGTCACCAACCCCAAACAGTTTTCTTCTTAACAATCCCCTTCTTTTTAATACATAAACGCATTCTTCAGGGGCACTGTAATTATCCAAAATGAGCTTTAGTACTGCAAATTACTTCAGCACTCCTATGATTTATCTGTAGTAAACATACTTTATAATATTTATATTCCCATTAAAACTGCCACCAATAATGAATCGACAGAACGTAAACATTTATATGATACAGCACGGACAAATACCGGATGCCCCTATAATAGTTACATTCCTTGCTCTTCCTATCAGGTTGGGAAATAAACAAGCCTTGGCATTTTGCCATGTTTATGAAAATACCTTTGAAAATGGCTCAGCACATTGCACTTCACATTTGCAACCATTTCCTTTAAAAAGATGGCATTCGTCCGTACTTATGAGGTCTGGGTTATTGCATTTTCACATTATGCATCATTACTCCGAGTAGGTGTCTTATCAGCAGCTCCAGTTGCTGTGGAGAAGATTGGAATTAAGCACTGGAAGCTTTTTATTTATTTTACATGCTTTATTCCTACAAGATTTTCTGCATATAAGCTTCTTTGTTAGGCTGAGAATTGGATACATTGCCAAGGCATTGTAAAATTTACATCTTGCTTTTTCTCCTGTATTCTTTCCAAAATTGGATTGAAAACAAAGTATAGTTTTTAATTAAAGCTCTGACTGACAACAGACATTTTTCCCCCCAAGCATTGGCATTCGTGATCAGTGGTGAGGTTTCATAAAAGCGTAATAGAAGATGTTCACTACTTAACCACAATCAGCCCCCAAGCAGTTTGTACTTCAGAAAATATCTGGGATATTCCTGACAATATAATTTAAAGATAACGATCACCAAAGTTGATCCAACTATAATCAACAAGACCATGGACAAATCTGAAATAAATTTACCTTTTCTTTTTAGCGTCGTGTAATCCAGACTGATGTTCCTGCTGACTTCAATGGAGAAAAACTGAAAGTAAAGCTTGTTATTTTTTCAAGCAGTTTCAGAATAGAGTTGTGATTTCTATTTTGTTACTTAGTTCAACCTATCATGGCTTCCTTTATCCTGAAGTAAAATCCAAAAGTCATCATTTTTTGGCCTTCAAAATGTCTTAATGATTTAAATATCCTCAGCAAGGCCAGTAGCCAAATCATCTAAACACAGGTTTAACCAATCTGAAGATCATAGTAAACTTTGTTACGTGATTTAAGGCTAAGCTGGTCAAGAAATCAGTGGCTCTGTCTTCCCATTTGCAGAACGAAGTTGGAAAACACTTCTCCTACCTGGGAAAAATTTTGCCCTTCTTTATGGAAGTTTTGGATTCTTTGTCTTCTGTAACACCATGAATTTCCTCTCTCTCTCCCTGGGCTATCTGCCTCCTGCATCCAACATTTAGATCTTGAAATTCTTCAGGACTCAGTCATAGCTCTTTATATTCTACTGCCATACATTCACCTGAGGGGATCTCATCCATTTTTCAGAGCTTTAAAAACATCTAAGCCAATGATACCTAAATTTTTATGTTCGTTCCAGGGCTTCACTGAGATCCAGACTTTTACATCCAAATACTAATTGATTTCTTGACTTAAACATTTCGCAGACACCTCCAGCTTAATCTATGCAAAACTAGAATATTACATTTCTCCCTAAAGGTGAATAAGGTATTTTATTCATGCCAAACAAAATTGCTGCCACAAAAGCAGGTTGAGATGAAAGAAGAAATAAAGAGTAAAGTGGAAAATTTGTATAAAACAATAAATATAAGAATTAAAAAGATAGTGAATTAGAATTTATCACAAAAATATGTTACCATATTAAATATAAATTAATGATAAAAGAATCACCAAGAAAGTTTAACAATTTAAAATATATATGCAGTCAATTACATGAACTCAAAATGCATAATTTTCAAAATGCATAAAGAATTAAATTATAAGGAGAAAAACCCAAATGTACAGTCAGTGTGGCAGTTTACATTTATAAATTCAAGAAAAATACAGAGAGAAAAAATTAACAAATATTATAGCACACAAATGCAAAATAATAAAAATTGGACAATATTCTATGACAAAGTAAGTACAAGTAAATATAAAAGGTATATGTTTTTGAAAACTATTAATAATCAAAATATACCTAGAAAATTACTATGTTTGGACATTATAAAACACATATCAAAGGGAAATCATGTGAGAAAAAAGAAAGTATACTAAACTGAATGATAATGAAAACATTACATGTTACAATTTGAAATGTACAGCATGTAAAATGTATAGACTTAGAAGCATGCATTCAAAAGAAAAAATGGCTTGTCATTATTTAAGAATTTATCTTCAGAAATTACAAAAAGGACAGCAAAAAAGGAAGTATAAAGAAGAAAGCATTAAAGAAAAAGAGTAAACATTGATGAATGATGATGAAATAAATGATTAAATGTGCTAGAGAAGACAAAGCCAAAAATTGGGAGACTAATAACATTTAAATATATATATATATATGTAATCAAGAGAATAATATCAGAAATAAAATAGAGAGTCTAGAGTTATTACAAAGATAATAACTATATGTAATAACTTTATTTCAATAAATTGAGAAATTTGGAAGAAACTGTCTAGAAAATTTCTAGAAAACTCATAAATTTGACAAAAGAAAATACTGAGACAAACGTAAAGAAACTAAAACAGCAATATAAAACTTCCTCCAAAATGTTTAGGTTCAAATATCTTTACCAGCAGGCTTAAGGAAAAATTAATATCAATCCTACATATTTCCAGATAACAACAAAATAAGATAAACTCTAATACATGGTATCAGACTGGATTTTCTTGATACCAAAAACCAATAAAGAGAGTATGACAGGGGAAACATACAGTCCAATCTCATTATGAACATAAATCCAAAAATTCTTAAAAATATAAACCCAGCAATTGGTAAAAAGGAGACTTCATCATAAACAAGTTGTTTTATACCAGAAATTTGGGTTAGTTTAACATTAGAAAGGCATTGCAATTTGTCACATCGAGAACAAAATAAAAATAGACATCACCTCATTGATACATAAAAACTCAGATAGCATCTGAGTTTTAAAATCCATTCATGATAAAAATTAAAAACTCATGACAAACTAGAACTAGAATGGAGCTTCCTCAATCTGATAAAGGCTAATTACAAATTTTTTAAAAATTCACTGCAAACAATCTTATCTAATGATGAGATTTTCAAAGCATTCCTTTGAAGTCAAAGATGTCCAATATCATCACTTCACTTCAATCTTGCACTGAAGGGCCTTAACAGCACTGAAAGGCAAGAAAGAGAAATGAAAGGCATATGACTAGGAAAGGAAAATTAAGATTGTCATTATTTTCAGTTAACATAATTTCATTTGTAGAAAATATAACAGAAACTAAAAATTAATTAGAAGTATTCTATAGCAAGGTTGCAGAAAAAAAATCAGTTATATTTATATGCCAGTATCAAACACTTAGAAAATACATTTTTTTAAGTCACCATTTCATTGGGGAAACTCCCAGGACATCAGCTTAGCAAAGAATTATTGAGTAATACCCCAAAAGCACAGGCAACCAATGCAAAAATGGACAAATGGGATCACATCAAATTAAAAAGCTTCCACACAGCCAAAGAAAAAAATCAACAAAGTGAAGAGACAACTTAAGGGATTAATAATCACAATATACAAGGAACTCAAACAACTCAACAGGAAAAAAAAATCTAATAATCCAGTTAAAAAAATGGACAAAGGATCTGAATAGAAATTTCTCAAGAGAAGACACATATATGGTAAACAGGCATAGGAAAATGTGCTCAATATCATTGATCATCAGAGAAATGCAAATCAAGACTGCAATGAGATATCAAGTTATCCCACTTAAAATTACTTTTAGACAATAACGAATGCTGACAAGGATATGGAGAAAAGGGAACCCTCATGCACCATTGGGAATGTAAATTAGTACAGTTTTTGGACAAAAGTATGGAGGTTCCTCAGAAAACTAAAAATAGAACTACCAGGGCTGGGCACAGTGCTTCACACCTGTAATCCCAACAATTTGGGAGGCTGAGGCAGGCAGATTATTTGAGATGAGGAGTTTGAGACCAGCTTGGCAAATGTGGTAAAACCCCATCTCTACTAAAAATAACAAAAAAATTAAAAGTGGCTGGGCATTGTAGTGCACACCTGTAATCCCAGCTATTCAGGAGGCTGAGGCATGAGAATTGCTTGAACCTGGGAGGCGGAGTTGCAGTGAGCTGAGATTGCACCAATGAACTATACAGCATGGGTGACAGAGTGAAACACGTCTAAAAAAAAAAAAAAGAAAAGAAAAGAAAAAGAACTACCATATGATCCAGCAATCTCACACCTAGCTATATACTCAAAAGAAAGAAAATCAGTATATCAAAGAAATATGTGCACAGCCATGTTTGTTGCAGCACTATTCACAATAGCCAAGATTTGGAAACAACCTAACTATCCTACAGCAGACAAATGGATAAAGAAAATGTGGTACATATGCACAGTGGAGAACTATTCAGCCATAAAAAAGGGTGAGATCCTGTCATTTGCAACAATGTGAATGGAACTGGAGGATGTTTATGTTAAGTGAAATAACCCAGGCACAGAAAACCAAATTTGCATGTTCTCACTTATTTGTGGGAGCTAAATATGCAAACAATTGAACTCAAGGAAACAAAGTGGAATGAGGGTTACCACAGGCAGGAATGGTAGTGGGGAGGGGAGGGAAAGTGGGGATGGTTAATGGGTACAAAATATGGTTAGAAAGAATAAATCAGACCTAGTATGTCATAGCACAACAGGTTGACTACAGTCAACAAAAATTTACTGTACATTTTTAAAATAATATAATTGAAATGTTTGTAACACAAAGAAATGATAAATGCTTGAGGTTATGGATACCCCATTTACCTTGATGTGATCATTACACATTGTGTACCTGTATTAAAATTTCTCAGGTACTCCATAAATACATATATCTACTATATACTCATAAAAATTAAAAATTAAAAAATATAGCATAAAAATAGCAAATAATAGCATTTATATAGATATTTATGAAAAACTTTATTAATCAAGACAGAGCAGTGATGACCGTTAAAAAGCAAAGATTCATAAATTGAAACATATTAAAATTAAGAAATTTGAATTGTCAAAAGAAATTATTTAAGTGTGAAAATGGTTTTGTGATTATATTTTAAGAGATGTAATATTATAGAGATATGTACTGAAATATGTATACATGAAATTATATGATGTCAAAATTACCTTAATCTGGAATTCGAAAAATTGGGTGGGGTATAAAGTAAACAAGATAGGCCAGGAGTTTATAATTTAAAGCTGGATGCATTATACTACTCACCCCTCTTTTTTACATATTTCCAATTTCTTTAATAATGACCTAGTGAGAGCCAACACCAAAAATCAATAATGAACTTATATGCAAAATATATTAAAACTTTCATAATTGACAATAAAAAGCCTGAAAACGCAATAGAAAAATGAGCCAAGACACCACCAGGTTCTTCAAAAAAGATAAAATGCAAATGGACAACGAATGTGAAAAAGTGTGTGAACTTATTTATAAGCAGAAAATGTAAATAAAACAATGAGAAACTACCACATACCAAATTTGGGGGAAAAACTAACAATAACATTGGCAAAGAAGTGAAGGGATGGGTTTCTCATACATGCTGTTGGGATTGGAGATTAGAAAAATCACTTTCGGAAAGACTTTTGGATTCTAGAAAAGCTGGAAATGGACCCAGAAATTCAAATTCTAGGCTTATACCCTAGAAAACTCAGACATGTGCACCTGGATACGTACAAAAGATTGCTTATAACAACATTGTTCCATTTGGCTTTATACTAAAAATAAATTAAATGGCCATCAATAATAAGATGAACAAGTAAACTGAGGTTTATTTACTAGATGGAGTACTATACAGTAATGAAAATGCACAATCTACAGCTACACCAACAATGGAAATAAATCTTACAAGCATAATTCATTTGATAAAAACTCAAGAACAGGCTAAACCAAACCATGCTATTTAAGATTGCATATTAAGGTAGTAAAATTGTAAAGAAAAACAAGGAAGGAATTACTATATAGGTCTGGATAATACTATTCTCATGAAGGGAAGAAGGAGATTGTGACCAGGAAGGTGTTCAGGAGGTGCTTCTGGAGTGAGGGAAATGTTATATTTCTTGATCTGATATCATGATGTTCACTTTATAATACCTTGTGAAATTGTACAATTATATTGATGCACTTTTCTGGAAGTCTGTTATAATTCAGATTAACAATTAAAAGAAAGAAAGGAGTTATTCTCTCACTGCAAAAGGCCATACAGAACAATAAAATTGTTTTTTGTTGGAGGTTGGGAGGTTGTTATTAGCTATAATTTTTGAACATGTGAGAAGGGAACTTAATGAGAAATAAAAATGAGCTATTTTTACTTTACTGATAGGCATTCAAAATGATAAAATATACCTTAAGAAATATATTTATATTTTCAATTAATGCTATAAAGAGATATTTCAAACTAGGTAACAATTGTCTTGAAGAAAGGCTTGCATTAGCAAAGAAGAATAATGGTCAACTATGCAATCCATCTCAATAAAATGATGGGCACTTTGTCTCTGTTTTCTTCCATTCGGTTTCCTAATTTCCTAATTAGTGTCATTTGGATTGGTGAATGTGTATCACTTTGGCCCTCCCCATCACTCACCTGCTATCTCATGTGCACTCTCTCTCAATATTCTTTTGTATTTTGTTTGACTATTTTATTGAAAAGCCATAAACAAACAGTATTAGTTTGCTAGGGCCACCATAACAAAATATCACAGACTGAGTGTTTCAAACAGAAATTCATTTTCTCAGTCTTTTAGAGGCTGGAAGTCCATGAACAATGTGTCAGCAGGTTTGACTTCTGAGACCTCTCTTTTTGGCTTGCAGATGGGCCAGCCTCTTGTCGTGTCCTCACAACACATTACTTCTGTGTGCATTACTCCCTGGTGTCTCCTTCATTTCTTATGAAGATGTCAGTCACATTGGATTAGAGCCTCATCCTTATGAATTCACTTAAGCTTAATTACCACTTTAAAAGACCTATCTACAAAAATAATCACATTACAGTTTAGAACTGTAACATGCAATATAATGGCACTCAATTCTGTCCATAACAGGAGCTCTTTCATTTTGATAATATTATACCTCACCACTTTTCAGAGTTTCCAGTGTGATACAATAAATTTCAAATTTGGCAACTCTACATTGTTGCTCAGAAAATGACAAATCATAAGACCTATCATCTAATCTTCTCTCCTTTTAAGGGTAAAATACAGATAATACATTTAAATCAATGGAGTATATAAAATGGGACATGAAGGTTTTTTAGAAGTTCCAATTGAAGATTATAGATACATTTCAAAAGGACCTGGAGAGGAAATGGGCAATAAATTATGAGCTGCAGCTCTTCTTAAAGTCATCAGAAAGGACTTTCTTTCTTCCCTTGAAAATACCTCCTGATAAGTCAACCTGTTCTTCCTTTCTGATAGATACTTTGGATAATGGATGTAGCCCTAGAAAAGAGAATCCCATTTTCACACAAAGGGAGGAGAACACAAAGTTAAAATGCAGGAAGGACAGTTAGGTCCCCACTCACAGCCCACACCAGAGCCCACACCATCTTTATCTCATGCTTCCAGCCTCTTCCCACTCACTTCAGCCTTCTCAATGCCAGGTTATTGTCCAAAAAATAAATCTAATTATGTCATCTCCTGCTTAAATATTTGAATGTTTCATTGTTTCCAATAGACTCAAGTCTATATTGGATAGCTTGGGATTCAAAGCCCTTTATAAGCATACTCCATCTTACTTTGGCAAATGTATCTCTTGCTACTTTGCTCCATGGGTACTCAAATCCAACAGCATAAAACTTCTCAGCAGCCTCCAGGTTCGTCCACTGACTTGCCTAGAATTCTCTTTCACTGCATCTGTGCCCAGGACACATCTCAGCTTTAAGACATAGCTCAGAGGTTACTATATGAGGCGCTTCCTTACTGCCCAAGCAAGTTTAGTCTTGCTTCACGCCACCACAGAACCCTTTTCTTGCCTCAGTTATAGTGCTCATGATGTTATACTGTAACTGTTAACCTATAGCCAAGCCCTGCACTCTAGGCATAGGCAACTTGAACACAATGTCTTGTATATATTTGCAGCCTCAGTGCTTGGCATATGGTAAAAAATAAAACCATGAT